ACCCTCCTCGCGAGCCCTCAGCTTTGCCACCTCCGCCTCAGTGAGCTCAGGCAAGACTTCTGCCTGCGGTACCGGAACTGCAGGCAACAGCGCCTTTTCCGCTTTGGATCCGGGGTCACTCTGTCGTCGGGGTCGGGCCTGCCTCTCCTGCCTCTGTGGGAAAGGAACAGGCAAATCAGGGCGAGAAACCCAGGAGTGGAGAAGGAGGAAGCTTCCTCAAGTTGTCTAATAGGAAGGAAAAACCTTCTGAAAGGGACAATTTACTACGAGCCTACTATGGGACAGACGCTTTTCGGATGTGTGACCTAGCTAATTTTCCTAACAGCTCACTAAGCCCATTTTACAGACAAAGAAACTGAAATTCGACAGAAGTTAATCTACATTTGCTTGAGATAATCTCTGGGTAAGAGAGAACTACCTAAGCATAAAAGTCATGTAAGAAATAACAAAGAAATGGGTAGAAAAGTGTATTCATACAGGTCAAATATTCCTTTACTTACTTTTTAAAAAATTCCTATTTACAAGCTGGTAATAGTAATTACCATTTACTGCCACTTAAAGCCTATCAGTCACATACACGGATTCAATTGCTACACTTTTTAGAGTATGTACTAAAATACTAGAGTATTTTATCCCCATTTTACAGAATTTTCCCAGGATCAGAGAGCAAGGAAGTAGTGCAGTCGTAATTCATACGCAGGCAGGCCTGACTCCAGAGTTTGACTTTATCCTGCTTCCTAAACAAACAAAAATGTTTCCAACAAATATTGAAAAGGATAAATATCCCCGAAATACATTAAAAATGCACATAAAATTTTTTAAAAATCGTAAGACCCTCAAGAATAATAAGCAAAGGACATATTTCATAAAAGTGGAACTGTGGATGACAACATTAGAAAAGATGCTCAACTTCCAAAAATATCAATTCATTTTATAGATATACCAAAAAGCATATTCTGAAATGAAAATAAAAATATATTCTCTAAAATATTTCCTGTAATGTCATTTATAACAGCAGAATATTGAAAACATAGGTCTAAGAAAAAGAGAACGGATGGCTAATTGTGTGTGACCTATGTGATGGAACATTATCCCATGATTGGAGGTAATCTTCAGGAAGAATTTACAATAGCATAGGAAAATTCTTATGATATGTTAAATGAAACAAACAGGACACAAAATTACATCAGGTATGATCTCAGATATGTAAATCAACAGGTGTTGAAGAAAAGGAAAAGTCCAAAATTGTGGGGCAAAAATAACTAACAGTGGATATGTTTCTTTCCTACACCCCTCTCCAGCTTATAAGGTTTTTACCATGATTTTGTATCCTTTTATAATCAAGAAAAGTCCACTGAGAAGGAAAAAAAAAACTAGTCCCAAAAAATCCATTAACGACCCAGTAATTTACTAGCAGATTCTTAGGCGTCTTCTCACTTCCCCACAACAGTCTCCCTGAACCTAAGTCCTTCCAAAATTCGCCTCCCAACAAAATCTTCCCAAACCTTTGCCTCCTTACCCCTAACCTTAATGCCTCATATATGGTGTTCCCCCAAAATTCATTCTCCTTCAACTTGTGTTCCCTAAACCTCACGCTGAACTCAAAACTCCTTAAGCCTCACTGCCCCTCTGCTAGTGAGAACAGCGCTGGTGGCAAGCCCAGGGAACGGCCCACAACTCAGTCCAGGCTTGGCCAGAGCAGGGCAGGTAGGTCTGGGAGAGGAGAGTCGGTTAGCCTTCCCCTCCCAGCCTCTCATGTGGCACCCGTGATACGGACTGTGCCTAGAAGTGGCCTGACCGCAGGGGACATAAGTGTTGTTGCACAAATGCTCTTCAAATCTGTTTCTTAAACTGTCTTGACTTTTAAACAATTTGACTTTCAAGCGTAGCCTCATTGTTATATAGTCCATTTCTTCCTCCTGAAATTCTCAAAATGGCTCATTCATCTAGCAACACCTCTCCCCAGGGCCTGACCAGTTCTGGTTTTTCCATTTAAGTGGGTAACTCAATGTAAGAGACTTATTACACGCTAAGTCA